GGTCTGCGGGTTTTTTTTACTTTCACGTTTTGTCCAGATATTGTCCTCGGCTCTGAAGCACTGTCTGTTATTTCGTACAGAGAGGAAAAAGAATGACCAAGTTTCACACCCATATAAAACAACATAAATTTTAGCAGCATACACACGTAGTGTCATTAATATATTATCTATCGCGATAACGTATTATTACAAGCGTGACCAGAATACTATACAACTGAATCTTAAGAAAGGCGTTTTAGGTATCAGTTAATGTTAGAGATGTTGCACCTTCTATCTAGTCTGGTGTACACTGGCCAGCTTTTTAGAATAAATTCGACTCCGAGGTGGGACATATATTGTTTAAGAAAGTACATATTTTGGACACCCCTGTTAGAAACTTAGATATGTTCACATTCGATTTTGTTTGATATTTGAGGAGTGGACAGTCAAAATAGAACTTGTTCACGCTCACTAGATTTACTGGAGGAGATGGAGTACAAGAGAAAGATCACCGGCTCGTTTAGCCGTACTTTATTTGTTGCTGCTATAAAGGACAGACAGCAAGCAGGTGTGGATGGCCGAGTGGTCCCGTCCCAGCAGCTGTATTTACCACATCCTCTTCTACCTAATTTTTTAAACGTTTTACTTACAAAAACGTTTCCCAAATAATATACGAAAAATTTAGTACGGCAGCTTACATAATTATGTAATTTTATGGTGCATTTTAGGAGTGGGTAAGATATTTCTTACTCATGTGTACACGGTGTTTAACTATGTAATGGTAAAGAAGTATGTCTTCTGATACAAACAGTTGCTATTTTAAAATTTGTTGAGTAGTGCTAATTCGGATGATAAGAAACGTCAGAAGGAGAGATGCAACTTGTAATGCTGCTGTATCGGTAACATTCTATATTAGCATACTGGAGTTCGTACCTCGGCCGGCTTACCAGTCGTACTGACAAGTGCCTGTAATTTTCCTTATTATTTCGGGCGAATGTAGGAATATTGTTTGTAATTAGATTACATCCGCCTCATGCCTTGTCATTTCATTCAATTCTTTGAAGCTGAAGCTCGTCCAAACAATATTTATAATACTTAAGCCTTTTGCACCAAGGAAACACATCACATGTCCATTACGAAGATCAAGTGATTAATGTTATTTTGGGAATTAATCGCTGTTTACTCTGAGAACCATACTAAACTTATAAATACACTATGGACAAAATGCAGAATTATTGATTGCTGAAGTAGGTGATACTTATATTTATTTTTACCTCTGAGCTTTAAAGGGTTCATCTTCATTATAACCAGTTTCCTGGACAAAATTCGAACTGATTTCTTGTCAGATGCAAGGAAAATGAAAAACCATGGAAGAAAGAAATAACGGATGAAAGGAAGGAAACAGACCAATGAAGCAAGAACGGAAAAAAGAGACGAGGGAGGAAAGTATAGGCATTGTTTGGGAACCATTGCCCAGGGTTAATTTTTATCTTTCTGAAATTGGTGTATTTGTTCTTGTGTGTAGTGTACAGGTAGTCTAACTTCGGCTTGTTAGCGATACTGGCAGTCAATGAATTGTAATGATACAAGTCCCAGTATCAAGGTTCACCTGCTCTCTGGTTTAAATAAGCACCACGACGATCGAGAGCTTACTTCCTGTACTAAAACAGGGTGTGACAAATAAGCTTAAATATATATTTTCTCTATTATCTAAAAGTCAGGAGGAGTTGAATGTTTTTTGGTCTATTTCCAGGAGCGTCTAACGTAAAACAGCCCAATAAATTTATTGCACTTGACATTTCAGCTATTGTATTTTCCGTCTTGAGATAAAAAGAAAGGTTTGGTTTCTGTACCACAGTCAAGTTACTTATCATGCTTGAATCTTGAACAGTGCACTCAATTAAACGGTCGCCAGTTGTGAATTTATGGTTATTAATTTATTAGAACCAAACGACAAGGATCAAGTATTCCTCACGTGGCCATGTAATTCTCTAATTGAAAACAGGAAAAATAAAACTACGTTTGAATGTGTAATCTTCCAACAGAAAAGTCCGATCTATAAAGATATCAATAAAACTATATATGCGTTTATTTCATCGTAATACTTTGAACAGTAAAAATTTTCGACTCTGAATTCTTCTTTGCTGCTAACGTACAAGGCAGGAAAAACTAATATACCTTAGACCACATTTATAAAAATATCTTCTTAATCAATTCGTAACTTGCACTTGTATTCTCTTAGCAATAAATAAATAAAAAAAAATTCATCAGACGAATAGTGAATAATAAATTAAATTCTAGGCTTTAAAATAATTTCTGTGCATTCGGTTTTTTAGTCAAATCTTACAAGATGCCATGTGTTGGAAGTCGCGGTGCCACTAAAATTTCCGAAGTTAAATTTGTTCGTATGTAATTTGCATCCATATGTCTTCTAAATTTCATATTCTGGCGACGTGTACCATACAAAGTGAATTCATAGTTTTACGTAAAAATATAAAACAGAAGGATCAGATTGTGAAGGGAGTACATATTTTATCGGCCCATGATCTGAATTGCCCCATTTTGCTTCGTAACGGCAATTTCTGTCCTGTTCAGGTGGCTAGCGTTTTGAGGCTGAACTGAAAGAGATGCTGCTAACAGCCACGCATTATGAAGATTTGAAGTCTTGATTCGCACGAGGACATTTTTAAGTCAAGGACCAAGACAGAATTCAATCTGCCCGTAATTAAAAGCAGACATGAATCACTCTTGTTCTCACATGTTTACTCGCGGATTACAGTTCTTTTTTGTTCCCGAAATGAGAGCATGCATGTACTATTTAAATTTAAGTATAATAGCAAGTATTCCCATTTTTGGAAGATTGTTTTGTGTTGTAAGAAGAGAACAAATTAGAAGGAATAGCGTAAAAAGAGAAATAACAACGAAAAGGAATAAAAAGAACAATATGTAATTTCTGTTGGTTCGGAGTAAAACTTGTACCACACATGCAAGGCGGTCATTAGGAAGGCTAACTGTGCTGGGACGTGTTTTTATTCACACAAGTATGAGCTTAATTTTAATTTTAAAACTGCCATAGGGACTTTCCGGATGGTACACTCCGTTGATGTTAGCAGTAGGCATCTGGCTTCGAATTCAAGAAACTATTTTGCTGTAGTGTGGCTTCAACTGAAGAGGCAGTCAGCAGTTTCTTAAACACAAGAGTGGTGAGGTTTAGCTAAGTTTTGATTGTGGCCTATGCACGTGTTCCAAACGCGTCCTTTCATGCGAAGTTGCTGTTATGCCTGGCCTATCTGACGATAAGAACAAGACGACCAGTCTTATTGCATCGGAGTTGCAACGTGTATCGGGATAATGCAAGCGCACGGTCACTCACACCTTGAATCAGGCCTCTCCGGTGTTATTTATTGTCTGCCGCATTTGATAGATTTGCCCTTACAAGAAGAGATTTCAGGACACAACTTTAACAATAGATACGTTATTCCTTTCACGCAAACTGACACTGTCGTATTTCTTAAAGATAGAAGTTTAATTTCTAACTTTCTGGATTTATTGTCCGAACACGTCCAGAAACAATTATTCGTTTTTACTTGTAAGTATTTTTTTTCACACTTTTAACAAAACAACATTGGACATTTGTAGCAAAACAAACGTGTGACAGGAATAAAACAAATACCTCGTATGAGTTTTTATGGGAAATGTGTGTCTATATAAAAATAGTTAACAAGTATATTACTGTGAAAACGTCAGTTGATGCAGAAACCCCATAGCTACAAGCGTACCAAATTTCATGACTATAGGTATGTAGTTTAGAAAAAATGTATTATACCATGACACAATTAACATTGTGAAGACAGGATTTACTTCTCCATTTAATCTAGACGTTTTCACGCATGTTTAGTGCTGTTTCTGATCGCCCTTTTATAACTTTATCTCACCTTTTTATGACCGTGAAATAAAATTTAATGGATTATCTGGAGAATTTTTCGCCGAAAAAGAAATAATCGTGAGATAAAATATTGATACTGTCGGCAAGGTCTGTAACTTTCATCTGGAACATACTTCATGCAGTTTTCTGACTATACCTTGACAAGAGCTGCCTTTCCAGAAGGGAAGTGTTTGTGGGACAGTATATAAAGGCTGGGGTACGCCAGGTCAAGTTGATGTCTGGTAAGAGTAAGGTACCCCTAAGGGAGAGGGTCGGTCGACAAATAATTTTAGAAGGTGGTACACGAATTTTGTTTTCATGGAAGAGATTCTTCAGTAGCAGCGAGCAGAACCAAGCTAGTTCCTGAGTGTCTGTACAAATGCTAGTCAGGCTGTAGTACATTTAGAAATGACATAAATAGACTTGCTTATCGCTCACCATACATAATCATGTTCCAAACTCATTGGATAGTTCATAATGTTTGAAATTGTGTAGCGTCATTAAATAACCTGTAAATTAATCATCAGCACCCTCACAAAAAGCTTTCCATTGCAGCATTTCCGTAAGACCTGAGAAAATACCCGCAGATTGAATTTTTTTTTTACGATCTCACGAAGTTCACGTCTGACAGTTGGGAATGTTGTTAAATGAAAGTATCGTGCAGTAATATGTTTGGTAACTTGTTTGTATTCTTTAAGCTTCTTCGCTAGTCTGAATCTGATGAACAAAAAGTAAATGTGTGTAATATATATATATATATATATATAAACATATATAAACACATATACATGTTTTAAACGACTGCATGGAAATTTAGAAATCGCAAAGGCTATGTGAGGTGGTAACCGACTATTAATTTCGATGTTAGTGTGAAAAAGCGAGGTCACTAAGATTGTTCTTGTAGTCATTAAATAAGTTTTCTTTCTCTCTCTGATACTCTTAAGGCACTGTGGCTTTTCACCTTGGGCATCTATAAACTTTCCTGTTGTTAAGACTTTTCTGAAGTAATCGGAAGATGCCAGTGTTTCGTAATAAAAAAAGTAACACAGCAAAACAGAATGAAATGTTTCGTAATAAAAAAAGTAACACAGCAGAACAGAATGAAACTTTAGAGATGTATATTCAACGGAAAAATGGCATACTAAAAGTTATTTCTGCCTTCCATTTCTTCAAAAAAATACAACAGTTTTTTGATGTACACTGTAAAGGCTGAAAGTGACATAACTTGAGCGCTTGTCCTGGTGTAACAAGTCGATTATTAATAGGCTGTATGGGTTAGTTTCATGGTCGTGTGACACTTATCCGGTACACACGTCAAGTTATTCACATGAAAAATAGGCGACCTGACCGGTCGAGGCAGAAACTCCGAAAATGGGGAATTATGACAATGACACTGTGTGGCGGTTATGGAAAACAAACATCTTTGTCCTCTCGAATTTGAACCCGCCGTCTCTGTGTTCGTTCGGCCTAAGGTAGACATAGACACACACAGACGTGTACCTTCACTCGCTTGCAGCATCATCTGAGGAACAGAACAAGACAAGCCATGAAATGTCTATGAGTAATTGTTTCTTGGAATGGATTATTACATATTTCAGCACGTACCTAACATATTTAGTAGAGGTTTCGTTGTGACATGTACGACTTTATCTTCAAGCATTTCATTGCATGCCCTTGAAAGAAAAAGAAAAAGAAATAGCGAATCTGTTAATTAGCAATTACTGGTCGGTCAGTTACAAGTTACATTAGAAACGTTTGAATGAACGCTTTAGTTTGACTCGTTTATGCACATAAATACAAAATGTTTCGAATGAAAGTTAGATTATTTTTAAAAAGTAGATTTATTACTATTAATACATATTTCCGTCGACACTTTATGTAATATTTAAATATTTTACCTCTGAAACTTTCATAAAGTGTTATTTAAGCCTAATATAACACCTATATTTACACTGTAGGCCCACATTTATTTGCAATTTATTATCTTAAAATACCTGATCAGTATTCATTTTACTTAAGGTATTGTTTTTGTGTTGAAGACTCATTAGTAACGGCTGAACATGATGGAGGAGGTCTTGATTTTGGCGCGTGAAATCCAGGTAGCCTCTCGCATTGGTTGCACTAGCTGTAACCCTGCTATAAATTCCAAGACGAAGATACGTCTTTGATTTCGACCAAGAATAATGCCAGAAATAAAACCAGACAAGAGGTCAGGACTAACACAAGCTTAGGTAGTTGGCGGAATGATTACTAACTGCTTAAAATAAAATAAAAATGTCGATAGAAACTCTTCCTGCTTAACAACGGAAATGAATGCTGCCCACCAAATAGTGACATTCTGTGTCAAATTTGTTGACCATTCGGTAGAGCATCTATCTACACGTAATGACGCGTGTGGGATTCGAACCCGTGATTTAAGTGTTCGAAGTTACATGGAATATTTATATTCTCGTTATGTTTTTTGTCTCCTAAAAGTCACATTACGGTAAACTCTTGAGGTCAGCTTATTTTGTATTCCATAATGCGAATATTCCTTTGCTTGAGATGCATTATTCACAATGAAACTAGCAGGCCTATAATTCTTTTATTCTCAAGAAACGAACGATTGTAAGGCAGGAAGGGGTCGACGGCTAACAGCTAGGGGAAAGTGCAGGGGAATGATACGCGATGTGAAGTGTTTTAATGCGCTCAGTATAAATATTCAACTTCATGACGATATTTGAGGCTCTATTCCGTGGCTGGATTTTGGAGCGAGTTGTTGGTCTTAGATAAGTTCTCTCGCACGTCCTTTCAAATTTTCCGTCCCGATTTTATGAAAATTTTATTTATTCGTCCGTCCGTCCATCCATCTACTTATGTTGTCGGTCTGTCTAATATATATTTTCTGGTATTTTAATAAATTAATCAGTCGCTTGAAATAATGCACTACACTTTCAGATTTTCTTCTGTACGTAACTTTAATTGAGTTTAGTTTTTCCTTTCTATGTTGGTGTTCCAGTTACACACATGTAAACTGATCCCGTTAGTAAAGGGGAATTGTAATTTTTTAATTTGCGAACTGCTAAGAAGTCACTGGAGCGTTTAAGAGCGTGTTAGGTTGCTGAAAGTTGTGCGGTTTTTACGTGGAGAGTTTGATATGGCTCTCAAAACGTTTGCAATTTGTAAGCTTATATGAAGTGCGGGCCCGTTATACAGCGAGCGAGTTAAAATTAATATTGCACAACTATTTAACGGTCAGATCTAAAAGTCAACAAGTCTGTCTGTCCTTCAGTCTGTCTGTCTGTCTGACTGTCTGACTGACTGACTGACTGACTGACTGACTGACTACCTACCAACATATATACAAAGCTTCTTGCCTACTTCCAGTATTTTAAGTCTGTAAAAAGTATTCCATTTGTGACCTAATTTTTAATGTCTGCATGTTGTGCTGCCATAATATTTTGTAGTTTGTTGACTACTCGATTGTGAGTAGGCTGGTTACATTGTGTTCGCCATTAATTCTGATTGCTTTATACACTGAGCTAAACAGAGATTATAACAACCTCATTTTATGAGTTCTTTGTACGAAGTTCGTAAAATAAAAGCACAAGGAGGCAATTCTGTTCGTCACAGTTTTGCATCCAAAACATCTTTTGGGGCGAATTTAATTTTGGTTCCTATCGTTTCAACGTAACCACTACTTTAAATGTGTTTATATCCTCAGTAAATGAACACTAAGTCCAGTGAGTTAGGAGAATGGCAAAGAACGCTCCTGGAAATTGGCTGCCGGCCTTACACCTTACGCGTTTGTTTATAGAGCTACAGCTTTGCCATATAACCTTCTTACAGCCTTTCTAGGACTCGACACTATTTGCACCTCAGGAGCAATCGAAATACCAGTAAATACGACAGTTAACAACTTGAAATTTATGAATAAAAATCCAAGTAAGAATGCAAGCCTCTGACTCTGTGGTAATATGTGTATCCGCAGGTGATACTACCTCAAAACATGGCCACCATACTGACATTGGCCGCACTGCAAGACCAAGAAACGAAGGCTGGGGGTTCTGCCCCTCCACATCATGGAGCTCCATCCACGCCCCCTGCATCGGGGTTAGTCATTATGGATCCCACGAAAGGCGGTGAGTTGAAGTAATCTTTTTTGACATTTTTCTGCATTGAAATGACATTATTTTAATTTGAACATTTTAGTTGTTTTGATGGTTTGTGGTACTCTGGCGCTCCTTCAATGTTGCAGATAAGATGACCGTAAGTGTACTACTGTTCATAATTTAGCGTCTGGCGCCAGTATGTGGATTCATTTGTGTACAGGATCAGAATGAATGGTTTGAGAAATGAGGCCAACATGTCTACGTCGGTATCTTTCATTTAGGACTATGTGTGATGCTTCAGTAGACTTTCTATAGTCTAAACGTGAAACTTTGCCATGATACATGCATTTTTTTCCGCGCTAGGAAAAAGGGAGTTTTTCCTTTTTCTTTTTGCTTACAATAAAAATTTAGATTAGATACAAATTTTGTTTTCATACACGTAACGAAAATTCTCCAACGGACGATGTGAAATCTGAAGTTTATTTCAGTTAAATTTCATATTAATCTAATTAATGTGTATTGCAAATGCTCATACCAAATTAAAATCGTGCACGACATTATATGAAAGCAATACATCGCAGACACTTTAGCGGAGACGGATCAAATCAGGATTTATAACATTTGGAGTTCTCGCAGCGTCTAGTATGGAGACTGAATTCTGGGTTGTAGCGCCTTATAGTCTGACGTTTACCGACGTTTCAGAGGCGCAGCCATCTTCAAATCGGGATTCGTTCGGGTGCCTCCCAATACGTGCCAGACGCTTTAACGTTTGTCTAAAATATTCTCGTTATGCTCAATATCTTTTAAAGTCACTCGTCGATAGAACATAAGCTTGAACAAGTTTTAATGCAACGTATTCAAAGTAGTATCGGAAATGCTATTTCGTAGAACAAAAGCTAATACAGTTTTTCGACTGAATATCATTTATCATGACAGTAATGACGATTTCTCATGATGGTCATAAGTAGTTTGCTAATTCTGTGCGTCTCACATGCTAGGACACATTTCAAGAGGGGAGACACTGTGATTATTACCATGATAAGTAAACTGGAAGGTTAATCTTGTAAAATTTTAAATTGCCCCTCCCCGCTGTCTCCTTATTTTCCAATCTGTACAAGGGATTGATACTGTGTGTATGTTAATGTACGCTAAATGACCCCCTCCCCCTCCCCCGTCGCTCCTCTCCTGATATTCAACTCACTGATGGCTTCCCCGTCTTGAAAAACATGGTGGGGTTCTCTCAAGTCCGTGTCTTGGCTGCCATTTGTATCAATCAGCTCTGTTTTATTCAACATTAGAAGGCATTGAAACGAGAGGAACATACGTTGAGGGTCGCCGGGCAAGATGGACACAATGCATTGCGGTCTCTATGAGCGCGCGCACACGTTCAGGTCATTTTGAATTAATGTTATTACAGTCATCACTCCGTGTCGATTAATCGACTTGTGATGTCGATATCTTGCACAAAGCCTGTGTTAAAGTTTGTTGGCGCTATTTAGAGTCGTTAAAGCTCTACTTTCTTTGTTTTTTAACCAAACTGCTGAAATGTAGAATTTTATGACCTGTTGAATATATTGTAAGAAGTCCATCACTTGCGCATCGAGTCTAGCATTTAAAAGGCAATTTTGTTTCGTAATGTTTTATTGTAGGTGTAAACATTAAAATGGATTTGTAGAATAATGCCTGTGAAAACAGGCGCATGTATTGCGTAAAAGGTTAATCCGGTGTTGTATGGACTACAATGAAGTGACCTCTGCACTTCCATAAATTTTTTCATTGAATGCAAGTGATAAACTTAGTGTCACTTGAATTAATGCCGGTGCTATTTACAAAAACAAACGTTCCTGCGAAGAAATTGTTTCTCATTTTTATGTAAAAGCTGTCATGCCCCCGGAAGAATGAACAAAAGTAGCCAGCGCGTAATTCCTTTCCCACACTTACATTAAAACGTCTCCTAAGACTGCTTTGTAATCGCACTTGTACTAGCCTTTGTAAGCGTTTCATAAACACGAGTTTTAATTACGAAACGTTCAGTTTACATATGTCTCCTCCAGACGGATCTGCAGTTAAAATAGATGAGCGCTGGCATCATCTGTCTTTCTCTAAATATGGCATAAATGTTGCACCCCCCCCCCCCCCCCCCCCAATTTTGGCAGTGTATATACAGTCTGACACTACACATAAGAATTTGTCTGTAGCCTTACAGTTTCTTAAGACTTACTGCGTCTCTCATGCAAGATTTATTTTGTTCGTATTCGCACGTTCTTTATGTTGGTCTCCACCTTGTGGTCAGTTCTGCTAGCTCGGTGTAACCATGCACAGATCGTGAATACGGAATACGTCTTTTGAAGAATTCTCTTGAAGCGACACGAGAATTGTCTTGTGGTCACCACAGTTTTCTGCAGTATGGTCGTAAAAATGTGGAAGGATTTCATATGGGGCATTAGACGGTAGATCTTATTGAGAACGATAAAACACGATGAAGTGTTTTTGGTGGATCATAAACACCGTTCTAGTACTCTTATACCGGAGGAAAAATAACACAACAGTCATTTTAAGGACTGGATAATAACGCCTTACCTCGTGTAACAGTGTAGTGGATGATGTATGTCACTTATCCGCTTAAGGAATTGACGCGGAGAAAGACACGCTGAGAGACGAATAAAACTGAAGGGGGCCATAAATTGCCAATTTTCCACTTTAAGTGGAGAAAGGAGATTTTTTATTACCAGCTGTATCATCTTTCCCCCTTCCCCTCTCCTCTTTTTATCTTCTCAAGTTGGTATCTCTTCCCCTCATTTCCAAAGCCATCTAGATCTCTTCTTCTAAATTTAAAGTAATGGGATCTCCCCTTCCTCCTTGTCCTATCTGCTACAAAGTCTTTCAAGAGCAATTGTTCCCAATAAAGTTGTCGGGAAGTTTTTATTGTCTGTTTTTGTAATTTTATTACTATTATTTTTATTATTTGAGAAATGTTCTTGACGAGGAAATAGGGACATCATTTAGACACTTGTGTTCTGGGAGGGGATCGGCCAGGAGACGTGGTGGGAAGAAGCGCAGTTGGTTAATTTCGTGGGAAAGTGGACGCACAGAATTAGAAGTGGAGTGCTGTTAGCTTCATAAAGATCTGTGTGATATGGTATGCTAATCACGAACGGTATATTGGTTGGACCATTGTCACGTGACTGACGTTAAGTTGTTGCACTCTTCGTCACATAAATGCGCCTTAACTCTTTATCACACAGCGGAGTGGCTGTTGGATGCTACCGAAAAGCGACTCAGAAACATTCTTCGGGCCACAGAATTTTTCAGATTTTCTCTTGGAGGCAGTTTACTATAAAAGCTGCTCGAAAGGACGCAGAAATAGGTCATGTGACTGCCAACCGACGACTGTCTTAGTTCAGTACGAAATTTTGCTGTATTCCTGCAAAGGGTCTCCGACTAATTAACAGGAATTGTGTTACCCTGTGTTCCATTAAATATTTGCCAGGTAAAAAGCATTTGAAAATAATTGTTCCAGATCTCATTAACGTACACGTGTTTTGTGGTACAACATTTTTGCATGAGGTATTCATGAAACGTTTGTATTACATTTGACCGATATGAGCTTAAATTAAGTTCGCTGTACAACATTAAGTGTGGGCCACTGTAACACAGAATGTTGTGCTTGTCTGTTTAGTAGTTTTGGAAATTAAATAAGCTGGCGGACTCACTTTTTCCATTATGAACGAATTCATTTGATACAGTGTGTGCGGTATGCACACATTAATTAATTATTACATTCTTAAGAAGATCTCTGGTGAGTTAGTTTGTTAGTCGGTCATATAAATTTTTAGTATGGTTCTGTTATGGACGTACAAATTATAACCGAATGCATTTGAAGCCAAGGTTTCCATTCGTAATTTATGCCTAAAGTAAGCCCATGTCTTAACCGATTAATAGGATAACGAAAATAATTGGCGGCGATTAAACAAGCTATTAAATTAACCGGGCCTGTTTTATTGACTAGTCGTGACAGCCTAAACACCATCCCATGTATAGGGGAAGTGAAGGTAAACTCCACGCATTCGTAACCCCAGAACTACATAAAGGTGAGGAGCCAGCTTCACTCCGATAACTTTTCATCTGTGGAAAGAGCACAGATTTACATATGGCCGTTTTACGTTTGCGGAATTAGGCTCCCGTACTCGGCGGATGGAAGGCTTAGTGGGCTCCAGAGCTGAAATGTACGTGGCGGTGACGAAGATAAAGATCGATCTTGTACGCAAAATCTGAAGAAAACTTTGGTCATACAGCGACGAAGATTCTGTGACGAATTTATCTCCGGAGTTGGAATAAACTGAAATGGACCAAATCTGTGTTGAGGTGATGTGCATGTGAATTATCAGTGACAGCAACTAACAATAAACACGATATGGTTTGAAATTGTTCAGATAGTAGTTGGTGATGACGCAGATTTAGGACTACATTTGATAAGAAGGGAGCCTCAGTCAACTGCGTGTCTGAAAATGCTTATTAGGTTTTCAAAGCACTTCCTTCTTGGTGTCTATTTTTTTATACTATTCTGTCGCTTGGAATTCTGAATTTGCTAATACCGTAACCCTCTGTTGCATATGTAATACCACTATTTTAATTTTCGCATGTTCGGCATCACTGCATAACAATTGCAACATCTGTGTGTCATACATTATGGAGATTTGCTTCCCACTGATTTTTTCACTCACATAGTCCTCTTGACCGTCGATGACACTGAAAAGATGTCACACTCATTCCTTATTGTCGAAAGTTAAGAAGGAGACAGATAGGCCACAGGTTTATATCAGGTTCTCACGGCGGCTATTATGAAGATGGATGTCTTCTGGGTTCTTGCGCCCTGAGTGTAACTTTTTATTAATGCCTAGCACCTTCCTGAAACTTAGGTTCGGTGTAAATGAGGGTCAGAGTAAAATACAGTACCGGTAACAGAAATTACGTGGTTTGGACTACTCAGGTTGCAAACACTGCCTGCTGCTATCCATGGTGCAATACTT